ATTTGAGAGAACGATTCATATAGACATAAATAAGTATATATATATATATATATATATATATATATATATATATATAAGAGACATATATATATGTGTGTGTGTGTGTATGTGCGTGTGTGTGTGTGTGTGAGAGTGATAGTGAAGCAGATATACATATATATTTGCGTGTGTATGTGTGTATGGGTGGGTGTGTATGTATATATACAGAGAGAGAAATATGTATATGAACGAGGTACATATATAGAAATATATCCATATATAATTATATATGAGAGCGATACATGCATATATATATATATATATATATATATATATATATATATATATATATATATATATAGCGAGAGAGAAAAAATATATATATATATATATATCGAGAGAGAAATATGTTTATCATGTTATGTGTCTGTATTTAAAAGCGTTTAAATGTTTTTTATTTATGCACACACACACACACATATATATATATATATATATATATATATATATATATATATATATATTCCTTTATGTCTCTCTCCCACTAACGAAACACCCACTCACGCGCACTCATGCACTCGCGCTAATCTCAGAAAAACACACACACACAATCATATATATATATATATATATATATATATATATATATATATATATATATATATATATATATATGTGTGTGTGTGTGTGTGTGTGTGTGTGTATGTATATTTGCGTGTATATTTTGAAAAAATATGTGTGTGTTTGAGTGCACGTTCAAATATACAGAAACGCATACACATTTTCCCGTCTGTTTACGCTTTAAGCATATATCATTCCTTTACAATAAGTCTGAACAGATTGGAATAAAGAGAGGGAATCTAATAAATTTTTTTAGGAGGAAAAAGACCGAAAGAAAGTAAAGGAAAATCGTAAACACAAATAAAAATCACCACTAGAAAAAGGTCCATCAAAAATGTCAAACTATATGAAACAAGACTTATAGGAAAATAAAGTTGGAAATAACACGAAGAAGAATAAGGCAAAAGACAGAAAAACTGTAAAACCAAAATGAAAATATGAAAAAAAAACAAAGAAAATTAAATTGAAAATAAACAAAGACCAACACGAGAAAATAAAAGAGAAAAAGAGAGAGGAAAGATGAAGGAGAGATAGACAGGCAGACGTTGTTCCAAAAGTAATGTTTAATTCAAATCACGTAAAGTCCCCTAAAATAAACAAATCACTAAAAATGTAAGAAAAAATAAAAATAGTCTGAAAATAAAATATATAGCTTAATTTTTATTCTATATTTCTAAGATTATTTAAGAGAAAAGTTGCACAAAGTGGAATTTTGTCCTTCCTGACCACCCTCACGTGGTTAAAGACAGGCGATAAAAATACTTTTCTTACACACTCATAGATTGTGACTGTGTATATCTATGTACAAAAAAAAAATAAAATAAAATAAAACAAGGTAAGTTACTTCGTCCAATCCAAATTGTACCTACATATATACACACAAAGCCGTACTCGATTCAAAGCAAAATACAAGAAATTTAAAAATAAAAAATAATAATAAAAAAAAATACAATAAATACTGTCCGAAATAAATGAGAAAGGAAATGGGTGGGTAGCAAAAACAAAAGACTTTGAGAACAAAAGTGGAGATAAATAAACGATTTCTTGTGTATTTACCGACTTTTTCTGGTCGCATTGTTTTAATATCAGTTCGATGTTTTATTTTACTCTTGCTTTGAATTATTTGATTGCAATTATTTATGACGCTCCTGCACCAGAGTGGACGCAAGTTTCCTGTCCAGTCGTTTTTCCATAAATCACAGACACAGGAAATAACGACTCTTCGAAAAATTTATGAACATTGGACATTGACGTCTTCTTTATTTCTCGTTAGCCGTTTTTACTTTTAAAAGGAAATTCTTGCCATTCTCTCGCTTATTTTATCTTTTAATTTCATTATATTTTCCCATCTTTCAAATCTACAACAAGTTGCGACCCACAATAACGCTTCTATTGTTGAGATATGACTTCTCCGTGAATATAACAGCGGGAAGATGGAGTCTGCGTCCCTAATATTTGATGCTTGATTACACTTATATTGAATAACAATTTCCGGAATATTCTATAAAAATTGTTGGTTAGTTCAGATATACACCTTTGGACAGTGACGGATTAGGTCTAAAAATATTAGTTATCAGGCAACAAAGAAAGATCACGGAAAAAAAAAAACAACGCAGTCATTTAATTTACATATAATAATAATTATTATTTTACTGGCAGTAGACGCCAAATATAAATACAGAATCTTCTAATTATTTTTTTTCAATTTTACGTAATTCGTTGATATTTTAAATAGTTTACTGTACAATTTACGCATTGACAGATAATTCAAAAACGCAATATATTAGTGTATGCTCACCACTATATTAAGAACAATCATCTGTGTTCACTAGATGATTATCCTCAAGGACAATGGCACAGTAGATACAGGCGTTAGTTAGATCCAGTGACAGGATCTAAAGAGTGTGAGTTCAATTCCTGGTTAAGGCACTGAAGAACTTGGAGAGGGGAATTATCAGAAGATAACTGATATCTGACGTCCATTAGACATGAAACGTGGAACTAAAACAGTCTACACCAGTGAACGAAAATGAAGGGTTCAGTTCGACATTCCACTCACCTGAAGAAGGCTGGAGCGTACAACGGCCGAATCATTGTAATAAATATGGCGACAAAGATGAGCACAATAGTTCGAATAATGTAAATAGTTGCTTCTGAATTCAATTTGTCTAACAATTCATTTGCAATGTATGTTTCCAAATTCTCCTCAGCGAATTTCTCCACCATGTCTTTATGATCATTAGAATACAAAATTTCGTCTGACATTGGACCTGAGTAACTGATAGAAGACAAATAACTTTATAAATCTAAAACAGATATCAATGTTTGTTTCTTTATTGCATTTTCATATGAAGTAAAGGACTCACTCTTTCAGAAGCCCACTTGACATAGGTTAAGATGACACTGACTCTGATATATCAAGCACACAATCTGTTGACAGTGATATACTTCGCAACGACCTTGTTTTTAACGAAATAAAAATTTCGGTAACTACTAACGAAATAAATGTGTCGGTTATTTTTTATAGAATAAATATGTCGGTTACTTTTAATAAAATAAAAATTGCGGTTATTTTTAGGAAAACAAAAATGGCGGTTACTTTAATATAATAAAATAGATGTTAAGCTGACAGAAAAAAATGATGGCTGCTTTTAACAAAATAAAAATGGCGGTTACATTTAACGAAATAAAAGTGGCGGCTATATTTTACAGAATAAAAATGTCGGTTACTTTTAATAAAATAAAAATTTTGGTTAATTTTCAGAAAATAAAATTGGCCGTTACTTTATTAAAATAAAATAGATGTTACGCTGACAATATAAAAATGGTGGTTGTTTTTAACAAAATAAAAAATTGGCTGTTAATTTTAGGAAAATAAAAATGGTGATTACTTTAATAAAATAAAATAGATATTACACTGACAAATTAAAATTGTGGTTGCTTTTAACAAAATAAAAATGGCGATTACTTTTAACGAAATAAACGTGGCGGCTATGTTTTACAGAATAAAAATGGCGGTTACTCATAGGAAAATAAAACTAGCGCTTACTTTAATAAAATCAAGTACATGTTACGCTGACAAAATAAATATGTTGGTTGTTTTTAACGAAATAGAAATGGTGGTTACTTCTAACGTAATAAAAATGTTCCTGTTGAGAGAAGATTGTGGTCCAAGATCTAAAAAGGGGATTCAGGAATAAATGACTGGAATATCCTTTAAAGCTTTATTCATAATTAAGTGAATATCATGACAGAACTTCAGTAAAATGCTTGGCTATTTCAGATCATGATATATGCAAAATATCCAGAAAAAAAACTTCTGATATATAGCTTCAGGTTTCATTCTAATCATATGTATCATCTCTATCTATAAAAGGCAGGATGTGTGTGTGTGTGTGTGTGTGTAACGAATGCACGGCCGCAATTTTCGACGGATTTGTACCAAAATTTACATGTACATACTCCAAGTTAGCAGGAAGGCCAAGACCGGCATTGCATTTCCCAACTCCCATCGATAGGGGAAATAATCGATTTTTTCTTACTTCTACGGCAGTTTTCATGTAGTTTGATTTTCTACTGCTCAGAGTGAGAGCCAATAGCTGGCGGCCACGAATAGGCAGGAAGATTCTATTGGCCAGCGTGAGAACCAACAGCTGACTGACACGAATGTTAACTAGTATGCTAGCATGCAAAGAAATAATCGATAGCTGCATTCGTCACAGGTGGGAAAAACTTAAATCTGCATGGCACTTTACTCCAATTGGCTCATTCGCTTGCTTAAACTCAACGTTGATTCTGATTCCGCAGAAGTGGGTTGGGTGTGAAAAAGTATTTGTTGTTAACATTCTTTTTTCATTCGGGTTTTCCAGTTACGAGTCCTTTTTTAAAGCTGATCGTTTTGTGTTCATTTTGTTTAGTTCTTTTTTCGCAACAGATTTAATGTTTAGTATAGAGCTTAGAAAAAATTCGCAGTGTGAGATAGGCAAGAAGTAAGGCATGTAGCAACATCAGCACGGAAAAGTGCACTCCCTTAAAGGCAAGGAAGTGCAAAAATAATTTAAGTCAAGTGATAGCGATTGCTGTATGAGTCGTACGATTTTTGAATCAAGCACGGGCAACGCCGGGCCATGCTGCTAATATCTCATAATTTATTGATTTGTATTCTACGGGTTATCAATTATTTGAAGGTTATGTAAAACCAAAAAATATTTAAATTGTAAGAAATCTTTTTGAGATAAAAATGAATTAGGGATACAAGTCTTACTAAATACCCCATTGTTTGGAGGATAAGAGGTGGATTCATACCTTTCCCTAGGATATTTGCGTGTACACCAATATAACGAACCCCAAAAGGAACTGGAACGCAGCTCTCGATTTATCAATTCATAGCCATTATAAGTTTACAATACCTGGTATTTCCAAGCGGTCACCCATCAAGGTACTGACCAGACTCGAATTGCTTAACTTTGGTCCTCGCATAGGAACAGGTGTTTCAAACTGATGTTGCCGTAAGCCGGATATCTTATAAGAGACGATAGAAAATTCGATAAATAATAAATACATTAATATTTAGCGAACATCCCAGAAGTATATTAAAATCATTATAAATCCGTTAAAGATCACCAAATTCCGTTACTTGAACACCAAAATACGCTTGTAATATATAGAGCATTAAATAACTGTTCTCGTTTGAAAAAAACAGGATGTTTATTTACTTATATACTATATACTTATATTATAATATAATATTTCTTACATGTATCTTAATTTAGTGGAAGTTTAAAAGAAAAAGAAGAATGTGCAAGGTTGGTGGTCGAAAACAGCCATGGACTTGTGTATACCGTTTTGAAATACTGTTTACTTAACCTGCAACTGTGGATGGCCTTAAATAAATGCGTTTCCAATTTGTCTACCTTTAAATAGCTTACATCGATATCACATTTTGATCTGTCTAGTGTAATTTTTGATTGAAGCAATAGATCAGGAAGCCTGTGCACGATCTTTACAACCCCTCGGCCCACACTCTCCCGGCGAGTAAATTACCAAATATACATTCAAATTTGTTTAAATTGAACATTGCTATTATGGCGAGTGTAATTTTATGTTTCTGTTAAATGACTTGTCATTATTCGAGTGTTGATACTGGTGTCTACGTACAAAACCTCTCACGCTGGAGGCTGTTTGCAAATTGATTTCATTTAATTCACATTTTAGAGAAGCTGTCTTCGATTATATGACATTTCAGAATAGCTTTAATAACCAAAAGAATGCAATGACAAGGATGATGATTAGGAAGTGAATGCGTATATTTCTTGGTGTGGCGGGAAAAAGAATGTTTCAACATATCAACTTTGTTGTTTCAGTTTATCGTCCTGTTATTCAAAGTGATTTGATTTGTTTGTACCTAGAGTAATTATTCTGTGTTATCCCTGAAGCCAAAACTGGCAGCTAGGGTGGCGAAGACAGAGTTAGATGAGTGATCAAGTGAAAGTTAGTCCTCTGGGCAACTGTCCGAGACTGGTTCAAGATCTGACACTTGAGATCAGAATTCGAGCACAGGGAAAAAGTAAAGCACCAGAGTAATTTTTCTGAACAATTTTAATGTTGGTTGCTTGATTAATTTAATAACGTGTCACACCTTATTCCCTTATTTAATGCCGAATAGAAGTTTTATAAGAGATACATGACAAGGAATCGATACGTAGACAAGTAGATGTTTACGGCTAAAGAGAAATATAGGTCTGAAGTTGAATACAGGCGCTTATATTTTAACATAAATGAGATAATGTTTCAGTTCGTGAGCCAATCTAAAGTTAGGCTTAGGCAGACAAAGGTCAGGTACATTCTTTAGTCTAAAGTTAAACATAATTGTGGCTTATATCAATTTCATAACAGCCATCAGAAATTGAACTGTTTTTGGAGTGTGGATATCGGGCTAGATTATACGTGTGTTATTTACACTACATTTCCCTGTTAAAACTTTAAGTAGCTTACATATATAAAAAGGTAAATATTTACGTTAATGAGGGAGAAACCCAGTGTATTTGCGTCTTTAATTTTTTTGGCATTTGATATATATATATATATATATATATATATATATATATATATATGTAAATATATATATATATGTAAATACATATATATTTACATATATATGTATTTACATATATATATATTACATATATATTTTATATATATATATATATATATATATATGTAAATATATTTATATGTAAATACATATATATAAAAATATATATGTATATATATATACATATGTATGTATGTATATATATTTTTATTTATATATATATATATATATATATATATATATATATATATTATAATTATTTTTTTAAAATATGATTCCTTCGCTACACACTCATGTTTCAGAAACAGGAGCAAAAACTTCAATATAATTATTAATTAGATTTTTTGGCTCCTGTTTTTGAAACATGAGAACTTTTATGTAGCGAAGGAATCATATTTTTAGAAAATTAATTTTAATTTAGGCTCTAATTTTGTATTGAGCACTGCTTTTTAAAAATAAAATAAAAAATACTAAAGAATCGGATCATTTACCTAACGTGTTCCTTCCTATTTTTCTATATATTTGCACACACACACACACACACACACACACACACACACACACACACACACATATATATATATATATATATATATATATATATATATATATATATGATACCGCAAGACTTGTAGATAGATTTAAACAGAGAAAACCGCATATATTTCCCTTAAAAGTAAACTTTTTTTACGGCCGACACCACATCAGCAGAATCGTTGGCGACTAGTATATTGTTAACCCGAATCGCGTGAGGAAACAAGGATCTGCGATAAAAATACAATTTAACATTGAAAACGGAGAGGAAAATCTGGGGTAAATGGAAAAAAATAAAACAGAATAAACAGTCGTTGTGAAGTTAAAAAAGAAACGATAGACTGACATGCTACCCGGCAAAGAAAGAGAACGAACAAAATTCTCTTTCTGTCGGCGCAAATTAATGTATACTGCCTCTAAGGTGTGCAGATGTTTTGCCGACTGTGCTTTGCCCAAAATGATAAACCACAAATCCACGCACAATCTGGATGTTCTAAAAGGTGCTGACCTATCGCGGAATCCCGCACCGCCTGCTTCAGACGTGTATTATGGGTACTAATACACTGTCAGATATTGCCAGGCACATATTGTGGAATACGCGTTTCAAGGCGCTGATTGGTGCTCCCTATGAAGTCAGCGTCGCACTGGCATGTGAATTCATGAACGACCAAACTATTTTTGTAGATAATTAATCGTTCCTTTAAGTAAATTCTATCTGTAATGGAAGTTTCCTGAACGTGTTTGCCGTTATTGACGCGCTCGTAAAAATCTTTATAGACGACCACGCAAATATTTCACTTGCGCATGTTAGGTCGTGATGTTACGCGAATTTTACTTGCTTGTTTTGATCTCGACCAAATCCAACTTGACGCGTGTAAATATATATATATATATATATATATATATATATATATAGATAGATAGATAGATAGATAGATAGATAGATACTATTAGTGGTAAATATAGATACATATGCAAAATATATAAATACCCATACATGTATATTTTTAGAATAAAAATTCCAAGAGGAAGAATCCAGGTAGAACTCAATGTCCAGGACAGAGTAAGCATATAATAAAAAGGGTTAAATTTGTTGAGTTGTTTGACAAATTTAATATCGACTACAGTTTACAAATCAAATATAAACATATAAAAATAAATATAACGATTATCTAATCCAGCAAGGACCTATATTTTTATGTTCAAAAACATATGCGAATACACACATACACAATAACATATACACGTATATACACATAGGCGTGTACCCACATATACACATATATATACCCATGTACACACATATAAAAATATATTCACATATCTACACATACACATATTCATGTATATCCATATACACACACTTTTCACATACATATACATACATACATATGCACACATTTTCTCAATTACAAAGCGGCACGCCGTTCAATTTTACTTTCCGTCGTCCCATCTCTCTCCCCCACCTCGTCTTTACCTCCCTCTTATTCTAACATTAGATTGTCTATGGTGCGTGTATGTCACCACGAAATGTATCTTTATGCATTAGACATCCGATAACATTCATTTTTCTCTTACTTAAACCCCTTCCACTCACCTCTCCTAAAATTCTCTGTGTTAAGGTTTAATCTCCCTCTTCCTCATACTTACACTCTCTCTAAATTCTGTTTTTATTTCCGGAGTTGTTTTTTCTGTTTTCTTTTTGAATTTGTAGGTCTGATGAATTGGATCGTATTTACGATTCCAATGGAATAAATTAGGACTATGGAATATTAGTGTTTAAGCTTTTTTATTTATATATATATATATATATATATATATATATATATATATATATATATATAGCGGATGATGGATAAAATGTCTAAATTACGCAAAAATGAAAATAACACTGACATCTAATTTTAACATATATTTATCGAAATCGTTAAATTGAAATATTAAAGAGCAAATTTATTCAATAAAATCGTCATTGGCTTCGACCACGCCCCCAGCCAACTTCAGGATTGCCTCTTCTGGAGCGTCTTCTTGTTTAAGTTGGTGAATGCTACCATAATCCTTGCCTTCAGTTCATCTTTGGTGTTACATAGAGTGTTGTTGGTCTCTCGCTCAACCGCGTCTCACACATAATAATCAAGTGGGTAGCAGTCTGGGAAGCGAGGTGGCCAGACGAAACGAGTGTTTTGGTCATAGAAATTGTCTGACTGCCATGACTGGTTTCTCCTGCTTTTGTGGCATGCTGCTGACTCCTTTTGACAGGCATATCTTCCAGCAGCTACCCTGGTTTAAGTTGGTGAATGCTGCCATAATCCTTGCCTTCAGTTAATCTTTGATGTATTGTTGGTCACTCGCTCAACTGCGCCCGACATATAATAAGAAAAACACAAAATACAAATCTCATGGTGATCACTTTTTTATATAATTTAATGAGATAAATGATCATATGTATATATATATATATATATATATATATATATATATATATATATATATATATATATATATATATATGTATATATATATATATAATTATATATATATATATAATTATGTATATATATATATGTGTGTGTATTATATATATATATATATATAAACATATATATATATATATATATATATACATATATATATATATATATATAAATAATTATGTATATATATATGTGTGTGTGTGTGTATATATATAAATATATATATATATATATGTATATACATATATATATATATATATATATATATAAATAATTATGCATATATATATGTGTGTGTAGATAGATAGATAGATAGATAGATAGATAGATAGATAGATAGATAGATAGATACGTTTATTTGCGTATGTATATATGCCTACTAAATACAAAACAAGAAACTTCCAGACTTC